GGGTAACAAGAGCGAAACTCCATATCAAAAAAAAAAAAAAACCCGCTCAAGGCGTGAACAACTGGGGACGCACCTGAACGTGGAGAATTTTTCTTGGCAGCCCAAACCCGTGGCGATTCTTACCTGTGGCAGTGGATGGCACCAATATTTGACAGTGCCAGTTGTTGCCCAGTGGCACCCTGGGTTGGTGTCAGCATACTGTTTGATATGTTAGGAAATACCTTCCCCGCTTGGCGGCACCGGCTCTTACTTCCAAGGTGGGCAGGTTGTTTAAAGGGGGTGCGTTAACACCCAGGTTGTCCAGGCAAGACATTGGGCTGGCAGTGTCCACATCTGGACAGCAGCCTGAATGGCTCCCTCGTCCCTGGATTGTTCAGGCCCTGAGAACATGAGAACCACTGCGCCATCCGTAGACTCTCCAGACCCGTAGTGAGTCAAGAGGGTCACAGACCCCTGGCAATCTTCCCCACGTGGCTGGCCCCCATGCAGAATAACCAAGTACCTTGTGGTCCTATTGGTCCTCCCAGGATATTGATTTGGGCAAAGCATCCAGTGAAATCTTACATGCCCCAAGGCCTGAGGAGGGCCCTGGGATCTGAGCTTTCCAGAAACCAGCAGGGCTGCCAGGGTCACCCCCGCCTCTGGGTGGTTACTCCGTCTCCTCCTCCTGGTCCAGAGCCTCCTGCGGCCGAGCGTTCTGCCCAAGCCTTGGCTCTTGGCGTTTCTTCACAGCTCCGTCTCTCCGAGTGCTCCCATCTGATACACGTTTCAAAAGTTCAATCCCAGGGTAGCCAAAAGCATGAAGCTGCCACAGAGAAAGGCTGAAAAACAACCAGACATTCCAAGCAGGCTGCCCTCGGGGGATTGCAGATCTGACCCAGCAGTCTGAGAGGGCCGGGGTCACCTGGCGAGCCTGGCAGTTTCCAGTCTGGGGGTTCTCTCTTTTTTTTTTTTTTTTTTTTTTGAGATGGAGTCTCGCTCTGTTGTCCTGGCTGGAGTGCAGTGGCATGGTCTTGGTTCACTGCAATCTCCGCCTCCCAGGTTCAAGTGATTCTCCTGCCTCAGTCTCCCAAGTAGCTGGGACTACAAGTGTGTGCCACCACACTCGGCTAATTTTTTTGTATTTTTAGTAGAGACAGGGTTTCACCATGTTGGCCAGGCTGGTCTCGAACTCCTGACCTCGTGCTCCACCCGCCTCGGCCTCCCAAAGTGCTGGAATTACAGGCGTGAGCCACTGCACCCGGCCTGGGGACTCTCTTTGTTTGGAGTAGGGCTCCTAAAGGAAATGCTGCCTGTAAATCATAAGTAGGCTGTAAATCTTACGCTCAGACGCCTTCATCATGAGCAAAAGGCAAACTAAAATGATATCTGGATGCCACTCCTTACCTTCCATTGGTGAAGAACCAAAAGCGACACATCACAAGGTGCTGAGTCGGGGGCAGTGGGCATCACACAGCCCTGTTGTCATTGTCTCGGGAGCCGGCTGGTGTTATGTTTATGCAGGCCAGGTTGGCAGCTGTCACCATGCAAATGCATGTCCTTTGGTCTGGCAATTCCACTCCTAGGAGCTCACTCTTAGATACTCTCACACAAATGCAGAAAGTCCCATGGACAACGATGATATTGTTAACAAAGGTAAAACATTAGAAAACACGGGCTCAGTGGCTCATGCCTGTAATCCATTCTGGGAGGCTGAGACGGAAGGATTGCTTGAGCCCAGGAATTCAAGACCAGCCTGGACAGCAACATGGTGAAATCGCATCTCTAAAAAATATAAAAATTAGAAACAGATTTGTATATATATATATCTATATATATAAATTAACCCAGCACGGTGGTATGCACCTGTGGTTCTAGCTACTCAGGAGACTGAGGTGGGAGGATCACTTGAGCCCAGGAGGTTGTGGCTGCAGTGAGTTGTGATGGCATCACTATACCAAAAAAAAAAAAAAAAAAAAAAAAATTAGAACTAAGTGTCCACCAATAGGGGCCCAGTTAAATATAATACGTTACTACAGTGGAATGCTATGCAGCTGATAAAATGAATGAGTTATTTCTGTATGGAAAAGCAGCAAATCCCAAGATACATTATTAAGCTAAAAAAGCAAAGTGCAGAGTGATATGTCTTTAGTAGTACGTACATAATATTTCTGTGAAAAAATGGGTGAGGGAAAAAATATAGTAATTGTCTGCATCTGTACAAGATGGCTTTGGGGAGGAGAACTTGGTGCAGAAAGACAGACTTGAGAGGACGAGTGTTTTTTGCCTTTAAAATCTAGACTAATATGCAAGAATGGTGTCTTTTAAACTAAAAGGCACAGCTATGATCAATCTTCGTTTTTGTTTTTTTTCCTTTTAACCAAACTGCCTTCGGCAAATGGGCATTAGATCAGTCTTTTCCAGTGAATTCTGGTGTGGAAGGAACACTCCTGTCTGCAGTTTTTTTTTTGACACAATGTCTCACTGTGTTGCCCAGGCTGGGGTGCAATGGCACGATCTTGGCTAATTGCAGTCTCTACCTCCTGGGTTCAAATGATTCTCCTGCCTCAGCCTCCCAAGTAACTGGGATTAAAGGAACCTGCCACCACACCCGGCTAATTTTTTTTTTTGTATTTTTAGTAGAGACGGGGTTTCACCATGTTAACCAGGCTGATCTTGAACTCCTGACCTCAAGTGATCTCCCCACCTCAGCCTCTCAAAGTGCTGGGATTACAGGGGTGAGCCACCGCGCCCGGCTCTGGTTGCACTTTGTGAACAGCGCTTTGGGGTCTAGAAGGCACCATGCTGTCTTTTAGAACAGAATTCCTACAAATGTGAGTTTGCAAGATCTAATTGGCTTTTATTAGCAATTTGTGTATCAGGCAACATCCCGTCTACAGAATAGAAAGGTGCTCCCATGAGTCAGCAAAAGGCTACAGAGACTAGAAACGGGGAAATTCCGACGTGTCGCCTCGGTTACTCTCCTTGTAGGATGAGAGTGTGGGGAGCACACTACCCTGCCGGCTCAGAGGGACTGCGGCCCTTTTGATTGGTTGTTGCTGCTGTACGTCTCCTATTTTTTGGAAAACTGGCTCGTTTCTTCTTTTTTGCGACAATGTCTCACTCTGTTGCCCAGGCTGGAGTGCAGTGGTGTGATCTCGGCTCACTGTAACGTCCACCTTCTAGGTTCAAGCAATTCTCCTGCCTCAGCCTCCTAAGTAGCTGGGATTACAGGCACCTGCTACCACGCCCAGCAGGAGAATCGCTGGAAGCTGGGAGGCAGGGGTTGCTGTGAGCTCACGCTGTTGTACTCTAGCCTGGGTGACAGAGTGAGACTCTGTCTCAACAAAAGAAAAAAAAAAAAAAAAAAGACAACATGATTGGAAGTCCAGAAATAAACCATCACACTTCTAGTCCATTGATTTCTATGAGTGCCAAGACCATTCAGTGGGCAAATAATAGTTTCTCAACAAATAGTGCAAAGGCAATTAGATGTTTACATGTAAAACCGTGATGTTAGATCTTTGCCTCATACCGTATATAAAAAATTAACTCAAATTGATCAAAGGCTAAAATATAAGAGCTAAAAATTACAGAAGTCTTAGAAGAAAACAAGTATAAATCCTTCATGACCTTGAGTTAAGCAAGGTTTGTTAAATATAATGCCAAAAGCACAATCTAGAAATGAAAACAAATTGATAAATTGAATTCTATCAAAGTTTAAAACTTTTGGACTTTAAAGACACCATTAGGCAACACCCGTAATCTCAGCACTTTAGGAGGCTGAGGCAGGAGGATCACTTGGGCCCAGAAGTTTGAGACCAGCCTGGGCAACATTGTGTATAGACTCCATTGGAACAAAAAATAAATCAATCAGGCATGGTGACATGTTACTCAGGAGGCTGAGGAGGGAGGATCGCTTGAGCCCAGGAGGTTAAGGCCGATGTGAGCCATGATTGTGTCACTGCACTGAGGCCTGGGTGACAGAGAGACCTTGTGTCTAAAATCGTTTTTAAAAATTATCTAACACTGGTTTGTGGAGGTGACTGCATAACCCTATAAAATCTCTAAAAACCATTAAATTGTACACTTAGAAAAGATGAATTTCCGTGCTGTGTCCTAGTTAATAAAGCTGGTTTGGTTTTTTGCTGTTGCTGTTTTGGAAACAGAGCCTCACTCTCTTGTCCAGGTAGGAGTGCAGTGGCAAGATCTTGGCTCACTGCAAACTCCACGTCCCGGGTTCAAGTGATTCTCTTGCCTCAGCCTGCAAGTATAGCTGGAATTAGAGATGTGCACCATCATACCTGGTTAATTTTTTGGAGAGACAGGGTTTTGCCATGTTGACCAGGCTGCTCTCAAACTCCAGACCTCAAATGATCCACCTGCCTTGGCCTCCCAAAGTTGGAATTACAGGCATGAGCCACCACACCTGACCAATAAAGCTTTTTTTAAAAATCCGTTTGGTTATCTGGAGGATTTAACTCCTCTGTGAGGGGGCAGTTTTCAGTGGCTGCGGGACCCTGGTAAGTGACTTGATTTCCTGGTGTCTCCGTTTCCTCCCCTGTGAAGGAGGAATAACACCTCCCTCAGGAGGAAGGCAAGAGGCAGTGAAGGCAGCCGGCTTATGCAGTAATGCTGACATAGCAGCTGCTAATCTGCCCCAGACGCCACTGTTCGGGTCAACAGGTGGTAGTGAAGCCAGGCAGAGGTCTGGGAGGGTGAGTCCAGTCCAGACAGACCGGGGCCAGCAAATCCCTGAGTTAAAAGGAAATGACCTAGAATCAGACAGATGCTCTGACCTAGAATCAGACGGTTGCTCGTTTGCAAAGAAAATGGGATTTGCCAGCTGTTCTCAGCTCAAGGCATGCTCTGTTTCTGGCGGCTTTGGGACAGTGTCCCTTGGCCATGGCTCCTCCACTGTGGGAGTGAGCAGGGGGCACCCCCGTCTCCCTGCCCAGCCACAGTCCCTGCAGGAGGCCCTCCGGATCTCTCATTAATGGGCTGTCTTTCTTCTTTGTCAGCCTGAAGACTCCTCGAAATGAAAAGGCCTTCCGGATCTTTGCTGTGAGGCAGTGAATTTCCAGCACGGGAGAAGGGGCATCTTCAAGAGGGCTTTGGGGTTTTGCTTTTACTTTTATTTTGTCATTGCGGGGAGGGGTATATGGAGAGTCAGGAAAGTCCCTTTGACTGGTGTTCAGTGTCCATCACTCTGTGGCCTTTTGGTGAGGTGACAGCTCATCCCCACACTGAAGCAGCAGCATCCCGGGGTGCTCAGCCAGACCCCTGGTGCCCAATCCTGCTGGGGCCCCGGGGTCTCCATCTGGGTGCCCTCTCTCCTTTAGACACCTGACCCGTCTCTTAAAGGGGACAGTTGCCAAAATATTACTTGCTATGTGTTCTTCCGTTGGTGGGGAAAGTTGATTTCAACCCCCTCCATCCCCCGCAAAGAGAGCAAACCTTCTGAGCTCACAACTGTGAAGCATTCATGCTGTCAAAAGAGGCCTTTCAAGGAAGTGCCGGTGAGTTTCAGGAATGAAGTAGAAGGTAGTTATTTAAAAATAAAAAACACAGTCCGTCCCTACTAACAGAGGAAAATGATTTTAATGTTTGCTGGTCAGACAGACAAATGGGGCGGAACAAGAGGACTGGGGGTGCGAGAGACCCCGGCTCCGCCCTGGCACGTGTCCTTGCTGGTGACCTGCCGTGGGTCCCGTTCAGTGGCCGCATGCAGGCCGGCTCTATACACAGCAGTGCTGGTTTCTGTAGAGTTCAGCAGTAACTTCAAGCGATATATCTTGTCTTTGTCAGGCCCCTTGTCTTTGTGGCCCCCCTGTTTCTGCCGTGACCTTTGGTCCCATTGAGGACTAAAAATTAGGAAATTAGGACCCTTTCTTTCTTTTTTTTTTCTAGGCATAGTGTCGCTCTTGTTGCCCAGGCTGGAGTGCAATGGCATGATCTTGGCTCACTGCAACCTCCGCCTCCCGGGGTCAAGCAATTCTCCTGCCTCAGCCTCCTGAGTAGCTGAGATTACAGGCATGCACCACCATGCCTAGCTAATTTTTTGTATTTTTAGTAGAGATGGGGTTTCTCCTTGTTGGTCAGGGTGGTCTTGAACTCCCGACGTCAGGTGATCCGCCCATCTCAGCCTCCCAAAGTGTTGGGATTACAGGCATGAGCCACCGCACCCAGCCAGGACCCTTTCTTTACACTCTACCCATTGTGGCTCCCGCCCTGCCTCAGACTGGTTTACGTGTCCTGGTTCACACCCAGGACTTTGCTTTGCAGGCGATCCTGTTTGAAGCCCCCTTCTTAACTCCGGGTCTCGTAAGGTTCCACTGAGATGTCTGATTACAACCAAAGAAGGGCTGCTCTCTGCTGCTTTTTAAAAATGACAGCTAAATGTGCAGATTCCCTACACACCCAGTGACCTATTTTTTCAGTCATGGGAGGAATGGAGTCGTCGGTACATTCCTCACCGACGTTAGCAGCTCAGTTTGTGGTTATGAAACCATCCTGTGGCCTCATGACAGCGAGAGATGGGAGTACACTAGAAGGCTCACTCTTCCTGTTTTTGTGAAAGGACGCTTGCCAACGTTCCCGCGGCTCCGAGGACTGCAGCATGCCCTGGCTCCCTCACTCTATAAAAGTGCCTCATGAACCCAGACCAAAAGCCCGCAGTGAAATGAAATACCCTCTTGTAAATAGCCTTTCTTTGCAGAAGGTGAAAATTCCACTCTCTACCACCAGGCCAGCCAATAGATCACTTTGGCGAATGCTAGTTTCAAATTTGATTCAAAATATTTCTTAGACAAAAGGACTAGCAGAAGATACTGCAGGCTGGACAGGAAACTCCGCCTGGGCACGCCTTCTTTCTTTGATTGCCTTCCTAATAAATGCAGAATCTGAAGGTAAATAGCTTAAAAAAAAAAAACCCTTTAGGAAGTTGGTAAAAAGCAGTTCGGCTCTTAGCTTGACTGAGCTAAACTTCGCAGGACTGTGTTTGTGCTTTGTGCGTCGTAGGGTGGTCGTAATTCGTAGGTATTGACTCTTCAGCCCCACATGTCGGAGAGGAATTCAGTCAGCCTGTCAGGTTGTGTGTCCAGTTACCACCAAACATCTGGGAAACTTCTGGGTGCTCAGTGTTCTGCTGCCAGACTTCGGTGGCTGTGGCTGTGTTTGCGAGGTAAATCAGGTCGCCCTGTGGGGTTTGCAGAATCAGTGAAGTGTTCAGGACAACCCCCGTGGGCTCGCTTCCGAAGCATCTCACCCAAGGGAGACTCGAAATTTCCAGTGTGAGTTGATCCCATCATTTAAAAGTAAAGTCCCGGGTTCCGTAACACCTCCTTCACTGCTAGGAGGCTAGCAGGATAGAAGGTCCTTGCCCAGAGCAGGACCTGGCTGTCTTTTTTTTTTTTTTTTTCTGAGACCAAGTCTCATTCCATTGCCCAGGCTGGAGTGCAGCGGTGTGATCTCAGCTCACTGCAACCTCCACCTGCCGGGTGCAAGCCATTCTCCTGCCTCAGCCTCCCAAGTAACTGGGACTACAGGCGTGAGCCACCATGCCCGGCTGATTTTTCTATTTTTAGTAGAGATGGGGTGTCGCCATGTTGGCTAGGCTGGTCTCCAACTCCTGACCTCAGGTGATCCACCCACCTCAGCCTCCCGGAGTGCTGGGATTACAGGCGTGAGCCACCATGCCCCGCCATGAACCTCTCTGTTTTTATCATCCTCACAAACATCGTGAAACTGGAACATTTGTCTTCAGAAAATGGAAGCGAGACTACAGATTAGAAGCCGTGTCCCTAGCACCACCTCTCCGGTGTGTGACACAGAGCCCCTCACGCCATATCAGCACTTACCCCATGTTTAACAACGTCTTGCACCCCGCCAGCGGCGTTCCTGGCTCTCCTGCCCCCAGAATGAACATTTCGGCCTCTGTAGGAGTTTTGCGCAACCGTGTCGCAAAGCGTGTGCTGGTGTCTCATTTTGTCTGTAGGCTTCCTCAGCCCGCAGTTTGTGTGTGTGCTTTTTTCTATGAAAAATGACGTATTTTGCTACTTCCTGTGTACAGAGTTTTATTGTAAATGTTTTTTGGGCTTTGCGTGAACAGGGGCCGTGTTGTTGCAGCTGTTTCAGTAAAACTGGTTGATTTCTAAAATGTTTCCGTAACATATCTTTTAAGAACAAATCTGAACAATTTGTGAAATAAAACGTTTAAAACCATCTTTCAGGCTCTGGGCTGTTTTGTGTTCACTGCCTCTGCTAGGCTGTGTCGTGTACGCAGAGATGCTGACAGCCGGGGCTGCTGGAGACCTCCACCCCCTCCGCGGGAAGGAGGGAGCAGCTTGCCAAAATGCACGTTCAGGTTCAGCAAGGCTGGGGTGGGGCTCCCTCCGCCTCCCGGGCTCAAGCAATTCTCCTGCCTCGGCCTCCCGAGTAGCTGGGACGACAGACATGCGCCACCACGCCTGGCTAATTTTTGTATTTTTTGTAGAGATAAGGTTTCCCCATATTGCCCAGACTGCTCTCAAATTCGTGGACTCAAGTGGTCCTCCTGCCTCGGCCTCCCAAAGTGCTGGGATTACAGGCGTGAGCCAGCCTGTGTATTTCAAGGCAGGGCCTTTAAGAAGGTAATTCAGGTTAAAGGGTCCTAAGGGTGCGGCCCTGACCCGTTATGACCCATGTCCTTAGAGAGAGAGAGAGAGAGGCGTCAGCAGCGTCACAGTCCCTGGCTGTGAGTTTCTCACAAGGTTTGGTGATGCCAGTTGCCAGAGCACACTCTGAGTGGTGGCGGGCTAAGGCCATTCTATCACTGTCTAAGCTCCGGCTGCCCTAGCTATGCCCTACCGTAGACTGGGTGACTTAACCTGCAGACGTGTCTTCCTCACAGTTCCAGAGGCTGGAAGTCCAGGACCAGGGTGCCAGCAGGGTGGGTCCCCTCTGTGGCCGCTCTCTGGTTTGCAGGTGGCTGCCCCCTCGTGCAGCCTTTCCTCTGAGCACATATACTCCTGGTGCCTCTCTCTCTCTCTCTCAAGGACGCTGGTCATATTGGGTCAGGGCCCCACCTTTAGGACCCATTTAACCTCAGTTACCTCCTTAAAGGCCCTACCTTGGAATACACAGGCTGGCTCACGCCTGTAATCCCAGCACTTTGGGAGGCGGAGGCAGGAGGACCACTTGAGTCCACAAATTTGAGAGCAGTCTGGGCAATATGGGGAAACCTTATCTCTACAAAAAATATAAAAATTAGCCAGGCGTGGCAGTGCACATCTACAATCTCAGCTACTCGGGAGGCTGAGGCAGGAGAATCGCTTAGCCCGGGAGGCAGAGGTTGCCTAGAGCCAAGATGGCACCACTGCACTCCAGCCTGGGCAACAGAGCAAGACTCTGCCGCCACCCCCCCCCACACACACACACGCGAAATGCAGTCATCTTGGGGGTTAGGGCTTGTTTTGTGTGGTAACAATAAGGAAATGATCAAAGTATGATTTCACAAATCACACAGTTTATTGCTACACAAAGATTTTTTTTTTTTGAGACGGAGTTTCGCTCTTGTTACCCAGGCTGAAGTGCAATGGCCCAATCTCAGCTCACTCTAATTTCTGCCACCCAGGCTCAAGATATTCTCCTGTCTCAGCCTCCCAAGTAGCTGGGATTATAGGCACCCACCCCCATGCCTGGCTGATTTTATGTTTTTAGTAGAGACGGGGTTTCATCATATTGGCCAGGTTGGTCTCAAACGCCTGACCTCAGATGATCCACCTGCCTCGTCCTCCCAAAGTGCTGGGATGACAGGTGTGAGCCACCGGGCCCAGACTCACACAAAGATTTTTTTCCTGTAGGTTCCCAGAGCTTAAACAGGGAGAGAATGACAGCAAACTTCACAAAGAATACACTCGACAGGCAAAGTCCTTGAACCCCATGGTGAATTAGTTCCAGAACGAGCAAAGTCTAGCTGCTCAGTTAGCATGGCAACAGTCCTCAGTGTGAGGTGCAGCCTTCTGCCAGCTGTTCTTGGGAGCGCTGAAAGGTCCCCGGTCCCTGGAAAGCAGTGCCAGCATTGGCCAGAAGCTTCTGAGAGTAGCTCCAAGGTTGGCAGGGTGACCTGTCACAGCTGGAGCTTCTGGCCTTGGGAAAAAGAGCCGAGGGTGCAGCCAGAGCTCCCAAGGGTCCGTCACACTCGCAGGCCTGCCTGTGTTTGGAAGTGCAGTCGTGAGGGTCAGGAGCTCACAGACAGGGCGCGATAAGGAGTAAGATCACATTCTCCAAGGAAGAAGGGGCACAACGGGTTCTTAGTGCAGCAGAGTGTGTCACTCACGTAGCAACCTGTGGAAGTGCCTGGAATCATTTCAAAGCCATATGGGCCAGATGCAGTGAGAGGTTCGTGTCTGTAATCCCAGCACTTTGGGAGGCCAAGGTGGACAGATCACTTGAGGTCAGGAGTTCGAGACCAGCCTGGCCAACATAGTGAAACCCCGTCTCTACTAAAAATACAAAAACTAGCCGGGGATGGTGGCCCATGCCTGTAATCCCAGCTACTCAGGAGGCTGAGGCAGGAGAATCACTTGAACCCAGGAGGTGGAAG